CACACTGGGGCATTGCTTCCAGTTCCTGGCTCCAAGGAAGGCCCCACTGAGATCGATGCTGGCTTTTTCTCCTTGGAGCCATGGTTTGCAATATTTCTTTGACCATGAACCCTTAGACCAAGAGATGAATCTTGTGAACCACCTCCTCCTAGAAAAGAAGCACACATATTCATACAATGCACAACTTTGCCCATAACTCCCTAAGGCTCTCGGATCCCTGACACTCATCCATGAGTCTGGAGCCCCCCAGGTTAAGAAGGCTTACGTTGAACTCCAGAGAAGATTTAGAAATATCTGAAGTCATCTAGTTTCTTCTTTGAGATAGAGTCCTCACTACCACTCTGAAACAGAGTAGCCCAAATTCATTCTAGAGGCTTCAATTGTCTACTGGCTTTACTATTACTTATGACCAATAGTGAGAAAAACATGGCACACTCCCTCCCTGCTCCCAGCTCCAAGGTCCTATAACTGAAATTTACCTCCCAAGTAACTCTTCTTTCCTGACTTATACAAGGAACCCACACACAGCCACATTGGACTGTCTATGTACAGTTTCCCAAACATGCTGAGGTGCCTTCTTCTGAACTCTGCCCTTGTTCAGATAATTTCCTACCCCTAGCTCTTCGCTGATCACTATCTGTCAGAATGCCATAACTTCTCCATAAAGCTTTTCTTGAACCCCACCTTTGTGCAGTCAGCCTGAGCTTGAATATCTGTTACAGCCTATATCATCTTCCATAGTGGATTATTTGGGCTTCTGTACACCCGAATATCTGAATTCTTGAGGTCTATGATCAGAATGATTAGGTTTCAATTCTGGCTCTGGCTCATTCTTGCTGTGTAGCCTGTGTACACTTCCTAATCTTTCCGTGCTTCAGTTTCCTTGTTGACAAAATGGACACAATAACAGTTTCCACTTCACAGGCTTAAATGAAATTTAAAATTCTTAGCATGGTGCCTGGCACATGGAAAGCATTTGATAAGGAGTATTTTTATTCTAGTGGATTGTACACTTCTGTCCCCATCCCCTATCATTAAGCTGTTAAGTAGTTGAAGGGAGAGCCTGGGTCTTAGTCATCACTTTATACCTCATAGAACCTTACCAAGAAAAACTTTGGACATAGTAAATAATCAATAGATGCTATATGAATGAAAATGAATCATCCATAAAGATTTTATCTAAGAACTTCAAACAGCATCATTGTCATCTGTATTTCCGGAATAGATGGGTGGGGGGCAGACAGTGAGATGGATGCTAATTTGAGATGACACATCATTCTGGGTCTTGAAAAAACATTCTGATTACAACTCTGTCCTAACCCCAGAAATTTTATTCCATCATGAAAGATAGGCCAAGAATTCCCATCTTCTCCAATTATGACTTTTTTTTTCAACTCCTGTTTAATTGGACAGATATTCATTTAGCAACCATTGGGTGTCAGGTTTTGTGATGAGGGCTGGAGATCAAAATGTCTTTCTGGAGCACCTATGAACACTGCCCTGGCACTGAAACTCAAGCCCAGGATTCAGGTCATGCTCACATTTTTATATTCTGTGAGTTTGAAGCCTAATAGCAAGGTCAAATGGCAACCGGCCTGCAGGATTTACCTGTCTTGTGACAAGAGATGCATTCTTAAGTCAAATTACAGAATAGCACACCATACTTCATTATATAACCATTCTAATAATATGTATAGAATATTTACTATATCACTTCTGACCACCCAGCCCACTGAGCTGATCCGAATAGGCTCCTTGTACACAGAAATGCTAAACATGGTGTAACAAATTTATTTTTCACATAGCCAAGTTTGATAAGAAAAAATCCTCAGGTGCCAAGAATGGCACGAAATCAAGTCAGAGAAATAAATATGAGCTGATTCCAGGAGGAGGTCACAGGAGTTTCAGATGGAGTTGTAGGCCCTCTAGGGCAAGGGAGATAGATATCTAAAGCCTACAAATAATAATAATAAATTAAAATAAATTGTAGGTTTAACCCTAAGAGAGGAAAAGAATGAAACTGAACTCCTTCATAAACACATCATCTGCCTGAGGTTCTAAGGGGGGTATGAAAAGTCACCTAAGAATATCAAAACTTCGAGTCTACACCACACATAGGTTTAGAGCTTTAACTTATAATACTTCTGTGATGTAGAACCTCTAGCTGGTAATTTAACATAGTCTAGGGTTACTCAATGCCTCCTAGAATCCAGCTAAAGCCAAGGCAAGATATACCTGTAAAAATGCTCTAAAAGGCCATCTCCTCCTGGTTGTTGCAAAGGCACTTTGAATTCCATGTGGATCATCCCTGCTCACCAAATCTGGCTGCTCACCAAATTATTTACATATAATATCACTTCCCATTGGGGCACACATGTCCGGGAGTCATCCTTGATGTCCTACACCAATCTGTCACTAAGGCTCATTGACTTTACTCTGTAAATATCTATCAGATCTGTCCACCTCTCCATTTCCAATACCCCATCCTAGTCCAAACCATGGCCATCTCTCCCCAGTCCCCTAATTGGTTTACCCTGCACCAACTCTATCAGCCATCTTCTAGGACAAAAATAAGTCTGGAAGTGAAAATTTCATAGGATTTGACCTGCTATTTCTTCCCATCTGATTTCCACACTACAGAGTGATTTACCTTTCCATAAAACCCCCTGCTAAAATTTTCCAAGGCTTTACCAGTGCTTTTAAGATAAAGATAAAGCTCCTAAGCACAGCACACAATGCTATTTGATCCACCTTCCTCTCCAGCCACATACCCCCCACTCTTCCTTATTCCCTCTGTACCTGACCCACTGGATTTCTTCTTCCCTGTCCTTTCCATGTTTCTTGTCCCCACAGAATTTTTACACATGTTATTTCCACAGCCTAGAATATTCTTCAAACCTCTCTCCAATCATACAACTCCTTATCCTGCAGATCTCGAGAGCCTTGTTTGACCTTTCCACTTTCATCAAAGGCTTCATCACATGGTCTCTTAATGTGAAGGTCATTTTCATAGCAGTTGTACCAGTGAAAATTTTACATTTATCTGTGTGGATTATTTGATATGTCTACCTCCCTCATTAGAACTTTAAGTCTGATGAGAATAGGGACAGAGTCTATTATCACTGACCACTAAGTCTCCAACCCAATACCAGGCATAGGGTAGGTGTTTAGTGGGTTTGGAGGGTACATAAAACATTTAAAGCTATGGAATGGAAGAGTGAAAAGACTAGATGCAGGGTGACCAAGGTAGAAAGAGATGTAATGGTCCTGCAGAAGAAAGTTAAAACCTAAAACTAAGGCCCATTCTTCATGCATCTCCTTGGCTAATTTTCTGAACAGTCCACTTTTTGCTTTAGGCATTTTATAAATAAGGAAACTAGAGATATCAAATGACTTGCCTGAAGTCACATAATGGTAGATCTATGATGTCTATCTAGGTTATCCTCATCCACTCTTCTTTTTTATTTAACAAAATTGAAATAAGCAGAGACAGTAAGGAGACCTGGAGTGAGAACCAGGAACTCTAATGTCTACAGATATCAGGCAGGGAAAGACTGAGGTACAACAGAGTTAAGATAAGAAAGAGGGTTGGGGGATGCCTGGGTGGTTCAGCTGTTGAATGTCTGCCTTCGGCTCAGGGCGTGATCCCAGAGTCCTGGGATCAAGTCCTGCATTGGGCTCCCCACAGGGAGCCTGCTTCTCCCTCTGCCTGTGTCTGCCTCTCTCTGTGTCTCTCATGAATAAATAAAATCTTTTTAAAAAGGAAAGGAAGAGTGTTGGTAACCACATCCAGTTAGAAGGGACATCCGATTTAATTCCAGCTCTGAATTATTGTTGGTGGATGGGAACATGGGCCCTCAATATTTTTCGGCTGTCCTAACTTTTAAGAGAAATTTAGACCTGGACTTTTGTATGAAGTCACTCTAATTTTAAGACACTATGCAGATCAAACAGAACATATCTGTAGGAAGAATGTGGGCTGCTGATGCCAGTTTGCAATCCTCAGCCTAGATGGAGGGGGGAGCAGGAGGAAAGATGCAGGGTTGTCACTACAGACTTCTGTTGCATGGAAAACGGGGTAGGGCCCTCATAAATAATCTTAGCAATAGTTATCCAACTTGGACTTTGATGGTTCCATGAAACTAAGACGTCAGGATCAGTTAATCTATAACTGGCTTTATTGTTCCAAGAGCACTATGTTCTGTTAAAGCAAAGAAACAAAGCCTGCAGGAGATTAACATCTTCATTCTCCCCCAGGAAGGCAATGGGGCAAGAAACCCAAATGGCCGTTGTGGGAGAATGTATAGATTACCAACTAGGTTGTTCGTCTTCCAAACAAAATACAGGCCAAAGATAAGCTGCCAATGGCCCTCAACTTAATTCAAATTTCCGTTGCGACATTGTAGTCACTTTCAATATCCCAGAGTTCCTAGGAAAGTTTATCTTTATCTCAGAGTTCCTTCTTCCCCTAGCGTTTTCCCTGAAGAAATAAAAGCATGTCACACACTGCTCTTCCAAGAAAAGAAGCAGTGATCAAACCAGGATATTCCTTAGTTTCAGTTCCTCTAACTCAGGAGAAGCCAGGCACATAGAAGGGCTTCCCAGATTTTCCCAGTTTGACCTCTCTCACTTGACCACCAGCCAAGTACATGCCTCAGCAATCCCTGGAATATTTTTTCCTAAGCTGTTTATTTACTAGATTAAATCAGTAGCTTCTCAGCTGCCGTCATGAAAGTTAGTTTGTGGAGCATGTTGCTGAGTTGAGATCCTAGAATGTCTCTCATACTCACCTGTAATTTTTAAAAGGCATCAGAAGCCAGTAAAAGAACTCAGCAACAACCTCCCCACATTCCTGGGTCACGGGAAGAGGAACCATTTGACTGCTGTCTGGGATAGTTAGCGTGTTTATGTCGCTCCCACGTTAGTGAGACTAGGCCAACTACTGGAACAAACAACCCAGAAGTTTTGATGCATTAACAGAATAAAAAATTGTTTCTTACTTCCATCACAGGTCAGTTCAGATTGGTGGTGTGTGGGGCCAAGCTGTTCTGCTCCAAGTAGTCAATCAGGGACTCAGGATCCTTCCATCATGTGGTCCCACCATCCTCTTAGCCCAAGGGATGGCAATATTTTTCTGCAAAGGGCCATATAGCAAATATTTTAGGCTTGGTTGGCCATATGGTCTGTGTCACAACTATTCAACTCTACCATTGTGGCACAAAAGCAGCTATGGGCAATATGTACATCAATGGGCATGGCTATGTCACCATAAAACTCCATGTACAAAAATAGGCAGTAGGCTGTTTTTGGTTTTTTTTTTGTTTTTTTTTACTGCAAAGAAAATTTATTTTACATATTGCTAGCCATGAATTTTTGTCATTAGTTCTTACATAAATACCACCTACTGCCACCATCCAAATGGCAGAACCATTTTATGTCCACATTTCACTCTGTATTTATAAAAAGAATTTGCATGACTTACATAAATGTAACTATCAGTGATGTTTGCTAGTGTTACTCTAGGACCTTGTCTGTCTGTCTGTCTCTCTCTCTACATTCAGACATGGATAGAGAAAGAGCAAGTTCCAGCAAAGAACCACATGTAAAATTAATGTCTCTCCCCATATAACTGTCATGAGGATTACATTACAGTGTCTGCAAAATGCTTAGTAAAGGTCACTATTTAGGAGTTGCTCAATAAATGTCATCATTTTAAAAATAAAGAATAAAGTACCTTTGATATTTACAGGAGTAAGTGGTCATATTTAATTGAGGGGACTCAGGAAATATTACAGTTGATTCTCAAAGGTAGGATAGGATTCTAACAAACAGAAGTGGGGGAGCAACTTAACCAAATGTATTAACAGTTGGAAAGCAATGCAGGGTGAGTGAGTGCATATGGCTCAGTTGGCTGTAATACAGGGTTATGAAGAGGACCTGTAAGACATAAATCTGGGAAGTAAATAGGCTTTGAATACCATGTAAAGATCGAACGTTTGGTGGCAATCGAAAGCCACTGAAAGTTATTAGGAAGTATACACATAAGTCGTGTGTTCCAAAAATCTGTTTGTAAATTTATTGTTTGAAACACAGACTATATTTTCTAACATAGTAAAAGCAACGTCCCTTTCCCTTCTCTGGGTCTCCTGACCCTTGTCACAAGAGCCTCAAAAAGCATCCTCTTTATTTAAAAAAAAAATTTTACTTATTTATTTATAAAAGATGGGGGGGAGAGAGCACAAGCAGTGGGGGGTGGAAAAGGCAGGAGGAGAGGCAGAAGCAGGCTTCTGAGCAGGAAGCCTGATGTTGGGCTGATCCCAGGACACTGTGATCATGACGTGAGCCAAAGGCAAATGCTTAACCAACTGAGCACCACCCAAATACCCCTAAAAAAGTCCTTCAATATTAGTTTTATATGATCCTGCATCCACCTAGTATTTAAAGACAGATTTGCCATGCCACTGAAAAGGCTCTTTTATTTTTAAATCTCAGCAAAGAAGGCTGACACAACAGCCTGTAACAAAAATCTCCCCCCAGACTTTCTGTGGACTGTAGCTATTTTAAGGATATTCAGTGCAAATGTGAATATTTGAAAAAAAAAAACTATAAAAAAAACTATTTGTGACTCACAACACTCGTGCTGAATTTTTCTTAAAGATTTTATTTATTTATTTGACAGAGACAGTGAGAAGGAGAGAGAGAGAGAGAAAGAGAGAGAGAGAGAGAGAAAGTACAAGCAAAGGGAGTAGTTGGCAGAGAGAAGCAGGCTCTCAGCTAAGCAGGGAGCCTGACACGGGGACTCCATCCCAGAATGCCAAGATCATGACCTGAGCTGAAGGCAGATGTTTCACTGACTGAGCCACTCAGGCGCCCCAATATTTTTTTCTACTATAGAAAAAGCCTTAGGTATCTGATATATCCTTGAACTCAACAATGCTCCTTCTAGGAATTTTTTTTCCTTCTAGGAATTAAGGTATAAATATACATACAGCTATGAGGAGGTCATCAACGCATTGTTTAAAAATTTGGAAATAACCATAGAACATTGTTTACTCTGTGTTACAGGAAACTATGCAAGGAAAATGGTGTTATTGAAAAATATCAAAGGGACATTTTTGTATATATTTAGAAGTTGGTTTCAAATTAATATAAACAGTCTGATGTCATGTTAATAGGAAATATAATCAAAATTATAACATCATAATGTTCACATTCTTCCTCTGTACACCTCCAGAGCAAATTCAGTCTTTGCTCAGATTCCCAACACCACTGCTGCCATGATACCCAAGCTACCTTTATGGTCTCCATCAATGACATCTTACCTCAAGCAAAGAGTTCTGTTTTTCTCAGATAAATTCTTTGAGTTTTGTAATGTGTAATCAGAATAATGCAGAGAGATGAACTGAAGAGGGAGTTAAGGAGAAGGAGGGCCATCTAGAAGGACAACACATCTACATAATAAAGTGCTACAATAAAGAGAAAAGGTACCTTGAGCTGAGGAAGAAGAAGAGTTTTCTAGGGGATATGGAATAGCACAGGGTCCGAGGAAATGGGATGGAAGAAACAGCTGTGAGACCGCACTAGAGAAATGTATTTCAACCCTTTCATGGTTCTGCAGAAGCAGCAATAAAAATTTTGAGTTCTGTGAATACAGGTTTTGCTAGCTAGACCAAAGCTGCATGAGGGGCTTAGATTTATTAGGGTTATATTTATATGCATATCCAGGAAAAAGACCACAGGTGTATACCCATGAAGACGTTAGTATGACTTGGATGAGGCTGTTTTATTCTTTCCACATATCTATATTGCCCAAATCTTCTAGCTCTGTGGGTATGCATGCAATCTTTTTCATTTAATCCTCAAGTACCTCCATGAAGTAGATTTCGTGATGACAACTAGTTTACAAATGAGGAAGCTGGAGCAGAGAGAGAGACCAGTCATATAACTAGTATTTAAGGAGTGAGGGACTGACCCAAGCAATCTGATTCCAGAATCAGGGCCCCAAACACTGACACTAACTAAATGGCTTCTTATTCTTCTTTATTTTATAAACTTATCTTCAAATGAAATATTTTCATTCTATTATTAAGTATAATAATGAAACAAAAATAACAGATGCTCAGGTACCCAGCACACCACCCTACTAAATATTAATATTTTGCCATATTTTCTTTAGATAGTGTTTAAAGAGAAAAAATCATAGATACAACTAGTATGGTTTTGGGGGGATTATTTATTTATTTATTTGAGAGAGAGAAGTCTCCTCTCTCATAAAATGAATTTCCCATTCATGAGTTAGAAGCAACAACAAAGACAATGAAAATGCAGTGTTCTTAAAGAATCTTAAGGTTCTTGCAAGGAATAAGAAAGAAGAAAGAAGAACTCATTTTTTACACACACAGGGGTGGGGCTGGGAGTGGCAAAGGTTATCCTGCTCAGCAGGATGGTCCTGCTGAGTTTTGAACACACATTGGGCTTGATCTCATGACCCTGAGATCATGACCTGAGACAAAACCAAGAGTCAGACACTCAACCAACTAAGCCACCCAGGCATCCCCAATATGCTTCTTTAGTAATGAAGATTGTATCACTAAAAGCAACGAAAGGCTGGATAACAGACTGTATTTGTCCATGTCGTAGAAAAGTCCCTCTCCCCATAATCAACAAGAGGAAACTCTGAAAATATGAAGATGGATATTCATTTTCCTAAGGAGCGGGGAATGAGCCAAAGAGATTGTGAGATGGTGGCAACGTGAAACATTTTTTATGCTGACTCCTGTCCTATTTCGGAAGCAACAGCTTACCTGAAATTTGGTGTTTATCATTTCAAGTTTTATATAATCCTACTGCATATATAGATCTTCATTAAACATGTAGCATTGTCTGGCCTGCTTTTAAGAATTATATACATGGGGTCATAACACACCATCAAAACGTAACACAATGGTCAATGCCAGCCCTCTCAACTTAAATGTATCATCCCTTCCACACACTTTGATTTTTTTATCCCTCTGTCTCACTGTGCTGCATTCCAAGTGAATTTCTCACACTGTCTTCCAATTCATTAATTCTCCCTACAAGTATGAAATTTTATATTCCAAAGACTTTCATTGTGTCTGTTTTCCAGGATTTCTATCTAATGCATACTTTTTCATTTCAGATTTCATTTGTTACTTTTGTTCTGTAATTTATTTTTTCAATAAAATTTATGCCTTCCTTTTTCTCCTTGAATGCCTTAAACATGCATAGTTTATAGTCTTTGTCAGATAAATACATTAAACAAATTAATAAATTAGTTTCATTCCCTAATGAATTCATGTCTTTCTTACTATTAGATTCTTTCATACGTTTGTAGTCATTACATTACAGGCTTGTTTTAAGATTTTATTTTCAAGTAATCTCTACAGCCAACATGGGCCTTGAACTCACAATCCCAAGATCTGGAGTCACATGCTCTACTGACTGAGCCAGACAAGCACCCCTGTAGGTTTGTTTTAAATTGAAAAGATTGTTTTTTCATTTTCCTTTTATCCCTCTTTGCTGTCCACCCCTCATTCCAGGAGTTTGGAAGCTGCCTCCATTTGGTGCCCCAGACTCCAATCCAGAACACAGCCTCATAAGGACAGGTTGGAGAAGCCCTGGGGTGACAACTGGGATATGGCCAATCAAGCTGCTGAGTCAGCAGAAGTTTGGTTCCATTGCTGGTCAAAGCATTAGGCCCATGTCCTCTTTCCTCCCATATCATGTGTGTTCCAGGATGCATGGGATCTAAGCATTCATTGGTAGCAATTTTTCCTCCAATCTTCTTTTATGAGATATTAAGTCCCATTCGAAGACCTGGTTTCAAGTAACAATCCTGTGTCCAGTCCTTCAACTCCTGCGAGGTATTTTCAAGTCGCTGTTACCCAAGAGAGTCAAACTTCTGCTACTACTGCCTGCTTCCAGACGCAGCAAAGTTGTAACTCCAGCCTCACTCACCACATACATTGTTTGTCCATTTCTGATACACAGAGATATTTATCTTGTGTTTTCAGTCCATTTCTATTTTAAGATGAACATTTAAAATTTCTAAAATTTGATGATTTTAATCTATAAGAACTGTAATCACAGAAGGCTCAATTTAATATTATTTCT